GAACTAGGGTCAAATAAGGTCTAATCGTTATGAAAATCGTTTTTAAAGGGTAAGTATTATAATTAACAGAATTATGAGGTAAAAAGTGATATTTGCGGGTCCGTTTGTATGACGGCGAGGTTTAAAAATAGACCGATTTCAAAATTTTTCAACAGTCTTCGTCTTTGGTGCTACAAAAGATCAAAAATGCAAAAGTTATAAGGGTTTTATTTTTTTTGTCGTGGTTTATCTTTTCATGGAATTACCCATATGTTAAATCTGAAAATAAAACTATGTTTAATTATAACAACGAAAACATCGATGTATCGTTACCATTATCGATGTTTTTTAACATCGATGTTTTTCATGGAAACATGGACTTTAAAGTTTCAAAGTATGTATGTATGTACAGTAGTTTTCATTTATAGTCATCACTGTTATAAACATATTAGTTATCTTGTCAATTTTATTAGATTTAAATGTCTCTGCCGATTAATCTACATATATAAAAATTAATGTGTGTTTGTTTGTATGTAAGTATATATGTATGTTTGTTTGAAGTCTATAGCCGCCTAAACGGCTAAATAGATTTTCTGGGAATTTTCACAGTGTGTTCCTGTATGCCTGGAAGGAAAAATAGGCTACTTTTTATTTCGAAATTTCAAGTGGGCGAGGTGCCACGCCTACTTACTAAATAACTATTCAAAGTCGTATATCTTGGAAACTGGTACCATTAGAGTCCTTAAATTTTGCACGGGCAACTTTGACATCCATAAGAATATTTTTAGACAAAATGGGCGGAATGACTATAGTGGGCGTGGCACCTTCCATATTAAGTAAATATTAATATCTCAGAAAATATAACAGTTAGAGTCCTCAAATTTTGTCGGAGCCACTAAGTCTCAATATGATTATTTAGGATAAAAAGTGGACGGACTAGCAGCAGGGGGCGTGGCACCTCCCATATTAATTAAATACAAAAATTCGTTTATCATGGAAACTATTAGAGTTAAAAGATTCAAGAAGGAAGAACTTTAGCATCCACGTAAATATTTTAGATAATAAATTGATGGACTACCATATGCATGCATATGTCAAACTAATTTTAATTAGGTCGAGAAAAATGTGTTTGAAAACATTTCAATATCATGATTTATCGATACACAGAACATACTCATTTTTAATTTTATCCGGATCTAATCATTTAATTACGAATTAAGTGGTATTAAGTGATTTTCAGAAGTATACCTTATATGGGAGCTAAGACAACCTATGGACCGATCCGGAAAAAATTCCGTAGAATGATTTATACAATAGATTTATTAATTAATGAAATATGTATGTGCGTTTAGGTGATTTTCGGAAGTGGACTTTATATGTACAGGAGCTATGACCTCACACAAAACATATTTGTGTCGAATTTTATCAAGATATCTTTATTTGATAATGAAATATGTGCGTTTAAGTGTGTATAAAATTCACATTTTATACTAAAAAACCATTAAAAATGATTTTTTATTATTATTATTATTCTTACTATTATTAATATTAGTATTGTTATTCTTAAGTTTTCTTAACTGAATTGTCTTTTCCATTTCTGAATTGTACCTAGTGTATAAGTAACCATTACATTGTAAAAAAAAAATAACTATGAACTACTATTGTGAATTAATAATGAATTTTCGAAGATACAAATGTAGCTACAATTTAAGCTTCAAATTTGCCATTTGGCCAGTTTGCAATTTATATAACTTCACTTGTTACCAAACCACCAACTGAAGAACATCCACTTCTTCCACTAAAACTAATCCTAAAGTACAAAATTATAACCTAAAACCTAAATCTAAAATAAAAAATTGTAAATCTGAAATTTATTTGAAAAAAAAAAAAAAAAAAAAAATTAAGTTGCAACTTTTGTTCAAATACAAACACACACATTAGACACATTTACGTAAGTCATCTTTCACACCCACACACATACACTCCTAAACTCTCATGCGGTCATACATTAATCCTAATTCTAATCTAATCATTTATTTTGTAATCGTTTCATTCCCCAACCAAAACCCTCACCTATATTTTTTCGCTTCGAGAAAAAATATACTTATGAGAATTTTGGCCAGTCTATAATTCCTATCTACTACAGTCCACTCCTTGAGCTCATACTCCCACTCCTGCACAACAAAATAAGCGCTAAATAGGCTAAAATTCTTCATGGTCCGTTCTCGCTGAAAAAGAAAGAAAGAAAAAAAAGACCCAGTTGACAACACTCACCCAATAGCGGTATCATCACAAAGAAAATGAGGTAAATAAAAGAAAAATCAAAAAGCCTTTTTTTAATATGTACAAAAGAATTTAAAACAAACAAAAAATACACATTCCTAACAAGAAATTTTTGAAAATTAAAAGAAAACAGTGATTTAGGTGTTAAAAAAAAAAAAAAAAGGAAAAGAAAATCTAAAAATTAACCTAAAAATTTGATAGAGAAGTGTAAAAACCTACTAAATCTAAAAATTAATAAAAGAGCTAAAATTCAAGAAAAAATCTAAAAATCAACAAAAAATTTGATAGAGAAGTGTAAAAACCTGCTAAATTTAAAAATTAATAAAAGAGCTAAAATTCAAGAAAAAATCTAAAAATCAACCAAAAATTTGATAGAGAAGTGTAAAAACCTGCTAAATTTAAAAATTAATAAAAGAGCTAAAATTCAAAAAAAAAAAAAATCCAAAAATCAACCAAAAATTTGATAGAGAAGTGTAAAAACCTGCTAACTCTAAAAATTAATAAAAGAGCTAAAATTCAAAAAAAAAATTCTAAAAATTAACCTAAAATTTTGATAGAGAAGTTAAAAACCTACTAAATCTAAAAATTAATGAAAGAGCTAAAAGTCAAAAAAAAAAATCTAAAAAGTAACTTAAAATTTTTTGTAGAGAAGCGCAAAATTCCTAAATTTAACCTAAAAAACTCGAAAAAAAATAGGAAAACTTATTGAAAAATTGCTTAAAAGTCTGAAAATTATCGCTGAAAATGTGCTAAAAAGTCTAAAATTTCACTAAAAATTGTAAAGTTAACCTATAAAAGTTGTTATAGAAAAGTGTAAAAAGTTTAAAATTTGTGTATTAAGAAAGAAATAAACCTAGAAAATTTTTAAAAATATGCTAAAAAATTTGCTAAAAAATTGGCTAAAAAATTTATTAAAAGATTTCATTAAAAGGTGGCTAATAAGTTTGCTAAAAAATTTGCTGAAAAATCTACTAAGATTCATGATAAAATTGAAATCTAAGAATTCTTTAGGCAGTGAAAAATTACTCTGAAAATTGCAAATAAAATAATTACCATAAAAAACAAAAAAAAAAAAAAAAAAGGTAAAATTTTTCTAAAAAATATATACATATAACCTTAAAAAACCAACATAAAAATTATTTATGGTAAACCTAGAGTTTTTTTTAATATATGAAAAATTTTATAACCAAAAAGTTAATATAACGGCACAGAAAAGTTTTTTCTAAAGTACATAGCTAAAATTCCGTTAAGGGAAAAAGCAAAAAGTTTACATGAAAATCCGTTAGTATATGCTTAAAAATTTTTTTTGTTTGTATAATAAATACATATATGTATACAAAGAGCATTTACTTGTCAAGTTAAAAAAGAAAAGAGAGAAAAAAAAAAAAAGATAAAAGTAAAAAAATATATATACCGGTTAAAATATTTACATGAAAGCAAATACATAAGTGCAGTTGGTTTAAATTATATCTGTCTCACTCTTCACTGTGGTGGTGAATTTCTCAACCACCTAACAAACAAACATAAAACAAAAGCAAAAAAAAAAGCACGGTCAAAGGAAAATCACTGGACATTTATACAACAACATTAAAATAAAAAATAAAAAATTATAAAAAAAATTTAAATGTAAGCAACCAACAAATTAAATAACAAGGTAATATTTTCTATTATTTGGAACAATGTTTAATTTCATCATCATCAATATTATAAATACAGCTTATTATTAATTTTCCGTTATTTGGTTCTTATGCACTGGGGTTTCGTTTATATAAACTAAGTAAACACATGAATTAATCCCAGCGAACATTAAACGTTTAAAATTGTTTGAGATAAATTTTTTTTTTATGCGTATATTGATTTCCATGAATGGAAATACGGAAATCAAAGGGAAGTTTAAAACGGGTGTTTTTCCCTTTCCATAACTTAAAAAAAAAAAAAAAAATTTATTAAAAACAATTTATTGGTAAAACGAATAGTAAATTTTCCGTGAATTGAAGCCAAACTTTTATTTAGCATTTGATTTGAAATCAATATTATTATAATTTAAAAATTTTATAATATTGCAAACACTCTAATATTCCTACATCTACTATCCTGCCTTTTTATTTGAAAAAAAAAAAAAAAGAAATAGTAAACCTCTGATAAACGTTGAAAGTTTTTATTTCTAAAACGAATGATTTCACTTACATTTTTATAATTTGCGAATGAGTTAAATTTTAACGACATTTAATGACATTGTATTAGATACTAATTTCGCTATAGTTATAACTATAGCCACTCATTGATTCTCATTATACATATTCCATACCAATTCCTATACTAAATCTGGCTGAAATCTAGTATTCCGTTAACAAATTCTAGTTTATTGGTGAAAGCATCAACTAAAATATATGCATTACTGAATTTTTATGTAGAAATAATTGTGCTGAACATTGTTTTAAGACTCGTACTCGTGCTCGTTTTTTTTTATGGATCGTATCATCTAAACTCGACCCTTTAAATTGCTATTTATTCGATATAGCTATATATATAAACCTAACTGCTAAATCCTAACAAGCACATGCATGATCTTCATTGTTATTCTTAAATTGCATTTAATAAAGCTATCTAAACCTCATCACAATCACAAAAGTGAATTTATACTTTAGCTATTTGCAAATTTTAACGTAATTTAAAAAAAGGCAGTATTTCATAAATCGTACTTAATCCTCAATACTCTATCAATACAGAATCTCAATATGAATCCTTCTCAAGAAAACGGCACATCGGTCAAGCATGAAAAATTTCTATTTGATTGCGACCATTTAATCACATTTTGCACTAATTTCGGTAAATCTGATATGGAAGATCAGACAGACTCTGTATTAGAAACAAAATTGGAGGACCTTGAAAACAGATGGAAAAAGTTACAAACATCATACGAGTCTCTAATGATATCCCCAAGATCCGAAAATAGTCAAGACTTCAAAGAAAACGCAAAAGTTAACTTTAACGCATGTTCAGAAACGTATTACGCATGTAGATCACACATAGTGGATTTACTCAGACTATCAAGAGCATGTGAAGTTCAAACTTCAATGCCCCGCACAAGTCTGTTACCCCAAGCCCTTCCCCTAGCTACAAGATCATCCTTCATAAAGCTCCCTCCTTGTGATATAGACACATTTACTGGTAGCTATGAAGAATGGCCAGCATTTCGCGATCTTTTCACCACGGCATGCATTGAGAATATTGAAATTCCAAAAGCCCAAAAGTTATTTTACTTAAGATTAAAAACAAAAGGTTGCGCGGGGGCCATTGTTAAACGATACACTCTTTGTGATGAAAATTTTGATCATGCATGGAATGCACTAAAGGCACGATTTGACAATAAGCGAGTATTAATCGATAACAAACTAAAAGTACTTTTCAATATCCCTGTCGCAACCTCGGAAAATAGTGAGTCTATACAGAAAATTCATTCCACAGTCACCGATTGTTTAACTTCACTCAAGGCACTTAACGTGAAAGTGGAAGGATGGGACCCTATACTTATATATTTAGTTTCAACAAAGTTGCCAGATGATACATTAGCTCTCTGGGAACAATCGTTTAAAACTCAGCGGGAAATGCCAACTTGGGCCCAAATGGATGAGTTCCTCGTTAATCGATATGAAGTTGTCGAAAGAATATCATCCATAAAAACCACGAAACAGCGATTCAGCCTTCCTACTATCTCTAATCCCAAGATACAGTCATACTCTTCACAAGAAAAACTTGAATACACGTGTAAACTCTGCAATGGAGATCATAACTTAAGAGTTTGTGGAAAATTTAGGAAATACACAGTACAGCAGAGAATAGATTATGTTTTCCAAAATAAAATATGTAACAATTGTCTCTCGTCAGGCCACACTAAATCGAAATGTATCAGCCAGAATACTTGTTTTATTTGCAAATCTAACTATCATACTCTACTTCATTTACAAAAACCTCAAAATTCATCTAAAACCCCGCGAAGTAACGAAAATATTAAAGAATCAAAAATTTTACTGCAGAAAAGAAACGACTCTTCTAAGAATCAGGATGCTGAGCAAAGCGACAACGTCCCCTCATCCTCCCCAAATTGCCAAGTACAGGCCAATTTCTCTTCTAATAACGTCAATATATTACTTCGCACAGCTTTGGTGCAAATAGAACACTTCGGAGAACTATTTACAGTCAGAGCACTAATTGACCCAGGATCTCAAAGAACATTCTTAACAGAAAGAATTAGATCTCTACTTAAATTACCTTATCAAAAGGCTGAACTTGAAGTTGTTGGAATAGGCGGTCAAGTGCAATCTGCAAATAAAGAATGTGAAATTACTTTATTTGCTAAGCGGTGTAATCTTAAATTTACGGTAAATGCAATCATTCTTCCTAAAGTCACAGAGAGAATCCCATCAATTTCTTTTGAGCTTCCTAATTCTTCCCAAATCTCCAGTTTAGACTTAGCTGATCCGAATTTCAATCATTCTTCTCAAATAGATTTAATCATTGGTAATGACTCAGAGCATTTCATCAATATTGGCGGTATTAAAAAAAATATTTGCGGTCAGGCGTCGGCATACAACACAATATTTGGCTGGGTTCTAAGTGGACCAATTGAAGCTAAAACTATACATACATTTACAACAACCGTAGCCCCTTCTGAAAATGCTGAGCTAAATAACACGTTACGAAAATTTTGGGAGCAAGAGGAAATACCATCAAGACCCATAATTTCTGAGGATGATCAATATTGTGAAACATTCTATAAGAAAACAACAACAAGAGATGCCAGCGGAAGATATGTTGTAAGATTACCATTAAAAAAGGAATTTCCCAATTCAAAATTTCTCGGCGCATCGCGAATTCTAGCCCTAGTCCAATATTCTCGTATAAACCAATCTCTTGCGAAAACTCCAGAGCTAGCAAAAGAATATAATAATGTTCTAGAAGAATACTTATCCCTCAATCACATGGAACCCGTTTCCTATCGGGAAATTGTATCAGACGGCAAATACTTCTCTTTTTATCTTCCTCATCATGCCGTAGTTCGCCCCGAACACAAAACAACCAAGGTAAGAGTTGTGTTTAATGCTTCCCGTAGAACTAAATCTGGCTTTTCACTCAATGACGTTTTATATACTGGTCCTACGTTACAATCTGAATTGATAACAGTAATTCTCAATTGGCGAATTTACAAATATGTTTTCAGCGGTGATATACAAAAAATGTACCGGCAAATTTGGGTTCATCCAGATGATAGATCTCTTCAAAGAATAATTTATCAAAAAAATCTCAATTCCCCAATTAGAGATTATCAACTTAAAACTGTTACTTTCGGCGTAAACTGTGCACCATTTCTGGCCATTCGTACACTGCACCAACTTGCAGAGGATTCTCAAGAAATGTTTCCCAAAGCTGCCGAAATTTTACGGACAGAGACATATGTAGATGACATATTATCTGGTGGGCATACCATTAAAGAAGCAATTGAATCACAGTCTCAGATCTTGGAAACTCTGAAGTCCGCTGGGTTTATCTTAAAGAAAATAACCGCTAACGACACCCAGTTACTCATTAACATCTCAAGCGAAGACTTGTATGATTCGAATTTATTACGATTTCATGAAACTAGCGCTACAAAAACTTTAGGTATAAAATGGAATGCGCTCACTGATGAATTTAGTTACTCATTTTCTCCAATAGCACAATCAGCAAGAATCACTAAGAGGAAAATGTTATCTGGAATAGCGTCAATTTTTGATCCCGCAGGTTGGATAGCTCCCATAGTCGTAAGAGCAAAAATGCTAATGCAACAATTATGGTTAGAAGGCAAACAGTGGGATGAAGAAGTCAGCTCTGAAATCTTAGATAAGTGGAATAAACTACTTATAGATCTCTCTCAAGTGAACAAGTTAAGGATACCAAGATGGCTGCAATATAATCCCAAGGACACTACCCAAATTCATGGTTTCGCAGATGCATCCAAAGGAGCGTATTGCGCAGCAGTTTATCTACGTTGTCAAAGTTTATCTCAGGTTGTCTTCTCAAATTTAATAATTGCGAAAAGCAAGGTAGCGCCTCTTCAACCAGTTTGTTTACCCAGATTGGAACTCAATGGTGCACTGTTATTGTCAAAATTGGTTAAATATGTAACCGAATCTATAAAAATTCCTCAATGTGAAATATTCCTGTGGACAGACTCATCAATCGTGATTGGATGGCTTTCTAAACCACCATGGACATGGGAAACTTATGTCGCAAATAGAACAGCTCAAATTCATAATTCTCTACCCAATGCAACCTGGGGTCATGTTCGTACTCACGACAATCCAGCAGATCTCGGAACTCGCGGATGTAAACCTCAGGAACTCTCAAATAATAATTTATGGTGGCAAGGACCGTCATGGCTATCAAAACCACAAACAGAGTGGCCAAAAAAGGCTCAGTTTGAAACTAAAAAACTCGAAGAAAAAGTCCAATGCCTACAAACATCGGTGCAACACACTGATATATTAAATATATTTTCATCATATCACAAGGCTTTAAGAGTTTTATCTTACGTATTTCGATTTTATCATAACAGTCGTTCAAAATTTAGATCACAGTTTACTCAGTCCCAGGTATGTCTCACTCAGAAAGAGGTTAAGTTCGTAAAATTGCGATTGATATCTCTAGCCCAAAATTCCCATTATCATAGAGAAATTAAAGATATATCAAATTCTCTATCAATCTCAAACAAAAGCTCATTAAAAACGCTTAATCCAATTTTAGACTCGGAGAAAATTCTGCGAGCAAATGGACGGCTTTCAAATGCATCGTTACCCTACAATGAACGTTACCCAATAATATTGCCAGGTAATTCTAGATTTTGTCAACTTTATTTGGAACATTTACATTTGTTTCTAGCTCATGCAGAATGTATTCAAATATGCAGAATGGTCCAAACGGAATTTTATATATCTCGATTAAAGCTTCGCGTTAAAAAGATTATTCGTCATTGTAAGACATGTATCATTTACAAACAAAGGCCATGTACTCAGATAATGTCACCGTTACCACCCGATAGATGCAAGCTCTCAGCTCCTTTTCATACAACTGGTATAGATTTCGCCGGTCCATTTGAATTAAAAAGCTCAACTCTCCGAAATGCTTCGATAATAAAGGGATACGTATGCGTTTTCGTTTGCTTTAGCACAAAAGCGGTTCATCTAGAAGCATGTTCAAACTTATCAACAGCAGCCTTTCGTGCAGCATTTTCTCGATTCATTGGGAGGCGGGGACTCCCTTTCAGGATATATTCTGACAATGGCCGTAATTTCGTCGGAGCTAGTCGTCAGCTGAGACGTGAGTTTGATTCCTTTATAAAATCCGCATCAACAGATATCGCTGAAAAATATGTGACTCATGGTCTCGAATGGATATTTATCCCTCCTCACGCTCCTCACATGGGTGGATTATGGGAAGCAGCAGTCAAAAGTTTTAAATTTCACCTAAAAAGAGTTGCAGGCTCATATAGATTTAATTTCGAAGAATTCGCTACTATTCTAGCTCAAATAGAAGGAATTCTTAATTCTCGTCCCATTTCGGCCATGTCCGAGGATCCAGCCGACTTAAAAGCCCTAACGCCTGGACACTTTTTAAAAGGTTCACCTATAATGAGTTTTCCAGAACCATCCAACCAAAGGATAGGACTTATTAATCGCTGGGACAAACTGAAAGCGATTCATCAACAATTGGCGATTAGATGGAAGGAAGATTATTTGAAATCCCTACTTAAACGATATAAATGGAAAAATCTCTCAGCAAACTTAAAGTCAGGTGACCTCGTAATCGTCATGGACGATTTGCTGCCTCCATGCGAGTGGCGATTGGGGAGAATAGAAAACACATACACCAGTACAGATGATAACGTTCGTGTCGCAGACGTTAGAACTGCGAATGGTGTAATTAAAAGGCCTATTGTAAAATTATTCTATTTACCTCTAGTTAATGAATAAAATTCTTAAATTCCGTTCCTATTTGTCTCATTATTCTTATCCTAAATGGTCAACCTCTTGATTCTATATATACACGCACATTACCCATCTTATATCTCATTTATACACCTCCTTCCACCATCAACAAACCAGTACACTAATTCACCCCCTTTTTTCATTCACAGCTCCACACACCGCAGAAGTAGTTCACAGCGCAGGCGTGAACCTATCCTATATCAGTGTCGACTCTGCAAGAATTTTCATGGGATCCGCTTTTGCCGCTATTTTATAAACATGGATGTACGCACAAGAAATCATGTGATTCACAAATACAGCTATTGCGTAAACTGTCTAGCAAATAGCCACAACTTACGAGCATGTACCTCCCGAGACACTTGCCGAAGGTGTGGTAAGCAGCACCATACGCTACTTCACCCGGGGATTCGCAGTCGGCTTTATCACCAAAATCATGCTTCATCCGCTAGCCGCCATCAATCATCATCTCGTAGCCGCCTTCAATTATCGTCTGGTAGCCATCATCTAACATCGTCTGCTATCCGCCATCAATCATCGTCTGCCCACCGTCGTCGTCCAGCATCATCTAACCATCGGCCAGCTCTATCAAACAGTCATCAATCATCCATTCGCCGTCGTCAATTACAATCAGCATCCCATCGCCAAGCCCAACCATCGTCCTCCTCGGCCCCAGACCAACGCGTCATATCTGAAGCCATAAGGTCCTTAGCTCAGGTCCTATGTGTCCAGCCATCAACTTATGCACCTGGCGGCCGGAATGTATAAAATTCACATTTTATACTAAAAAACCATTAAAAATGATTTTTTATTATTATTATTATTCTTACTATTATTAATATTAGTATTGTTATTCTTAAGTTTTCTTAACTGAATTGTCTTTTCCATTTCTGAATTGTACCTAGTGTATAAGTAACCATTACATTGTAAAAAAAATAACTATGAACTACTATTGTGAATTAATAATGAATTTTCGAAGATACAAATGTAGCTACAATTTAAGCTTCAAATTTGCCATTTGGCCAGTTTGCAATTTATATAACTTCACTTGTTACCAAACCACCAACTGAAGAACATCCACTTCTTCCACTAAAACTAATCCTAAAGTACAAAATTATAACCTAAAACCTAAATCTAAAATAAAAAATTGTAAATCTGAAATTTATTTGAAAAAAAAAAAAAAAAAAAATTAAGTTGCAACTTTTGTTCAAATACAAACACACACATTAGACACATTTACGTAAGTCATCTTTCACACCCACACACATACACTCCTAAACTCTCATGCGGTCATACATTAATCCTAATTCTAATCTAATCATTTATTTTGTAATCGTTTCATTCCCCAACCAAAACCCTCACCTATATTTTTTCGCTTCGAGAAAAAATATACTTATGAGAATTTTGGCCAGTCTATAATTCCTATCTACTACAGTCCACTCCTTGAGCTCATACTCCCACTCCTGCACAACAAAATAAGCGCTAAATAGGCTAAAATTCTTCAAAGTGATTTTTTTGAAGTGGACCTTATATAGGAGCTATTAACATATATGGACCAATCCGGAAAAAATTTGGTAGAATGATTTATATGCTCACAAAACATATTCAAGTCGTACTTTATCCCGATAGCTTTTTTATTCAAAGAAATATATGCGTTTAACAGATTTTCGTAAGTGGACCCTCTATGGGAGCCTATCCGGAAAAAATTTCGTAGAGTGACTCATATAAAGACAAAACATATTTATGTCGAATTTTATCACGATAGCTTTATTTGATAATGAAATATGTGTTTATAAGTGATATTCGGAAGTGGGCCTTATATAGAAGCTATGACCAATGATGGACCGTAAAAAAATTTGTAGAATGATTTGTATGTATACAAAACATATTCGTATCGAATTTTATCTCGATAGCTTTATATTTCAATGAAATATATGCGTTTAAGTGTTAAAGTAAAGTGAACATAATTGATCACTGCCTGAAAAAATAATGTGTGACAAAATTCATCGAAATATCTTTGGTAGTTTCTGAGAAAACTTCAAAAGAATTATGAAAAAACGTAATTCTTTCGAGGTAGTCTGAAATTTTTACTCATAACTTTTTACGTTGTGAACCGATTTTGCTGATTTTCAATACCAAACTGCTTAGGATAATAATAAATATTTTGGGTGAATTTGGTTGATTGCCTTTGCTTAGTATTAACGTGAGCGTGTTTTACTGACAGGCGGACAGACGGACATAGCTAAATCGACTCAAAATTTCATAAGGACCCAGAATATATATACTTTGTTGGGTCTTAGATGAATATTTCTTGGTGTTACACACGGAACGACAAACTTTTATATACCCTCTATCACCACTGATAGTGGTGGAGGGTATACAAATTGTATATCTGAGATACTCTAGAAGCTAGAATCTTCAAATTTTACATGAAGAACTTTGACATTCATTTGAACATTTAGAGAAAAATTTGCGGACTTTCAGTGGGAAGATTGGCCATATTAAATGCAATACAATATTATTCACATTCTTCATAGCTTACATTAAAATCCTTATTAGCGTTCGGAAAAATTGGCGAACTTGCAATAATTTGCGTGGCATCTTCCATGTGTAAGTAGATTTTTATACCCTACACCACTTTAGTGGGGAGGGTATATTGGATTTGTGCTGATGTTTGTAACGCACAATAATATTGGTCCTATACCCACCTTAAAGTATACCTTAGGCTTAGATTCATTTTCTGAGTCGATTTAGCTATGTCCGTCCGTCTGTCCGTCCATGTAAACCTTGTAATCAAACTACAGGTCGCACTTTTGAAGATAATTCAATGAAATTTGGCACATGATCTTCTATTGTCCCAGGGACGAAGTCTATTGAAAATGATTAATATCGGTCCATTATTTCACCTAGCCCCCATACAACTGAACCCCCTGAATAGGGCTTGTAAACCTTGTAATCAAAGTACAGGTCGCAATTTTGAAGATAATTCAATGAAATTTGGTTCCTGATCTTCTATGGTACCAGAGACGAAGCCTATTGAAAATGGTTAACATCGGTCCATTATTTCACCTAAACCCCATAGAACTGAACCCGACCAATAGTGATTTTAAGTTTATAATTATGTTTAATATACTCCTATCTCGACAAAAAGCTGCAAAACCAAGTTCTATACTAGCCTTCATGACTCTCATGAATTTTATAATTATAGGATCTCATTTGACCATAGCCCCTATACAAATCCCCCTTCAAAATTTTACTTAAATGTCCACAATTTTATTCAACAATAAATAGCTTAAGTATAATTGAAGGCAAGGTACAATTCAACTTAAATGCTTTATTATGAAAACTAAATCACATTTTATTTTTGCAACAGGTGTAGGGTATTATATGGTCGGCCTCGCCCGACTATAATTTCTTACTTGTTTTATTTATATTGCTTTTAGTGTAGCAAAGCACACGGGGTATAGCTAGTTTTATATAAAAATACAAGTAAGAAATTATAGTCGGGCAAGGCCGACCATATAATACCCTACACCTTTGACAAAAATATAATGTGATTTCGTTGCCATAATAAAGCATTTATGTTGAATTGTACCTTGCCTTAGATATACATACTTAAGCCGCTTATTGTTGAATAAAATTGTGGACATTTAAGTGAAATTTTGATGGGGGCTTTTCATAGGGGCTAGGGTCATATGAGAACCTATTATTATGGAATTCGTGGGGGTCATCAAGTCTTGT